CTCCTGCCTTCCTTAGCAGACTCCTGTCTTTCCAAACCAAGACATGTGCTGTCACCATTGCCCCTAAACATCCCCCAGAGCCCCCTGTGATGGGTCAGGCCCCACATCCCCCCCTCCAAGGCCCTTTTCCACATAAGCAGCAGAGTTATCCCAACATGGACACAAACCCCAAAGCCAAGGCTGTGCTGAGCCCACGTGACCTGTGATTTCCCAATCCTCTGCAAATTGGCCAAATCTGGGAGGATTCTTTTGAAGAAAAACAAGAGGTTTGTTTTTTTTCCTCTCCCATTCCATGCTCTATTTACAAATTTTCAAGCCCTGCTGCGAGGAGGAGAGGACAGGATCTTCCCAAAGCCCAGACCACCAGAAAAGGGTAAAAACAAACCCAAGAAAATCTCAAATTTAGTAGAAAAATTTGGTTCTTTTCCAGGATTTCCCCAGGGGGTTTTGGGCTGGATTTGAGGAGGAGATGGTTGGGGCACCTACCCATCACTCCACAGGCTGCATCCATGTGAGGGTACTGCAGGGACGAGCGCTTGTACACCACGTGGGGGCTGCCCTTGCCCTCTCCCCCCATGCTGACGTTGGCTCCAGGGCTCAGGGGCTCGATGAAATATTCCTCCTCATCTGCCACGATCACCCCGTGCTGTAGGAGGGAACACAAGGTGTGCAAGAGGTTTTAGAGCCATTTCTCTGAGCCAGAGAGAAGTTTGATCAGAGGATCCATGTTTACCCCTGAAAGAATTTTCTACCAAGGTTGCTGACATAGAAACCAAGAAAGAGACATAGAAACCAAGAAAGAAAGAAGGATAAATAAGAGAAACCTGCAACTGTTCCAATAAACACTTTGTTTGTCTCTCATCACCCATAAATGTAAAGTTATGAGCTTTGTAAGAATGTATAAAAAGCATGCATGCTAGAATAAAAACAGGTTTGAAGCCTTCTGAAAATGGAGTGTTGCTTTGTATTGTCTCTGTCTCAACTACAAGAGGAGACACAATACCAAAGGTGCACAGAGAACCTGGTGGCTTCTCATGGTGAGGTTTTTGCTGATTAACCCCGAATTTCTGGGGACTGACAAAAACTGAGGAGGAATCCTGCACAAACACCAAACTGCAGGAAGCCACAGAGCAGAGGAAAACCCAGCCAGATGGTGGTGGATGCCTTGGGACATCTGTGTTCACTAAAGTCCTCTGGAAATCACAGCCTTACCTTGCTGAGTTATGAATGAGTTGTTTCCTATTCCACCCACTCGGTCTCAGTGGGATCCCTGTGGGATCCCAAAAACCCCTTCAAACACAGCAGCACTCAGCTCTGAACTTGGCCTTCCCAAAAAAGCCAAAAAGCAGCTCAAGACCCTCCCCAGCAGCTGGGAACTCAGGGCTTCAGAGAGGGGTAAATCCCCAGAGGTTTTAGGAAACACCCCACATATTTAAAATCTGAAGGCTGATTAAGCAGAGGCCACCAGGAGAGCCAAACTCCTTCTCTGGTGTGACGGTGTTCACAGGGGTTCTTGGATGAGGGAAGAAACGAGGATCTGACTCCATGTTTCAGAAGGCTTGATTTATTATTTTATGATATATATTACATTAAAACTATACTAAAAGAATAGAAGAAAAGGCGTCATCAGAAGGTCAGCTAAGAATAGAATAGCAAAGAATGATAACAAAGATTTGTGGCTCTCTGTCTGAGCCAGATGACTGTGATTGGCCATTAATTGCAAACATCCAACATGGGCCAATCACAGATCCACCCGTTGCATTCCACAGCAGCAGATAATCAATGTTTACATTTTGTTCCTGAGGCCTCTCAGCTCCTCAGGAAGAAAAATCCTAAGAAAAGGATTTTTCATTAATCTGTGGAATTCAACAGGTGGATCTTTGACTTATGTTAGTTGTTTCTAATTAATTGCTTATCACAGCTTAGCTGGCTTAGACAGAAAGTCCGAGCCACAAACTTTTCTTATTCTTTCTTATTCTATTCTTCACTAGCCTTCTGATGAAATCCTTTTAGTTTTAATGTAATATATATAATAAAATTAATAGTTTTAATGTAATATATATCATGAAATAATAAATCAAGCCTTCTGAAACACAGAGTCAGATCCTCGTCTCTTCCCTCATCCTGAGACCCCTGTGAACACTATCACATGTCACTCCCTGCCAGGGCTGTCCCTGTCCCCTCTCCTGGCACTGTCACACCCTCGACTGTCCCTGTCCCCTCTCTGGACATTGTCTCTGCCAGGCTGTCCCTGTCCCCTCCCTGGCCAGGCTCAATGCCTCACTGTGTGAGCATTCCCGAGTGCCGGGGGATTTCCTCCTGCCCCGGGCTCTGCTGCTCTTGGCTCAGCTCCACCTTTCCAAGCACAAGCGAGGCACTGTGAGGTTCCCGAGGCCAGGGGAGCCCGGCAGAGCCAGCTGGAAAAGCTTTGTGGTGTGGGATGGGGGAAGGAGGTCATCCCCAGCCCGGGGCACAGCGAGTCCTGCCCCAAATCCATCCCAATGCCAAAGGGATGCTCTCACTCCAGCTTTGCAGAGGCTCCACGCCTGCCTGGCACCTTTGTTTTGTGGAGATAACAAAAAACTCTACAACTCTGTGAAAGTTGTAAAGCCGCTATGTTTATTACAGTGCCGGATGAATGTGGAGATTACTCTCCTTAAAAGACATGCGTACTTCTGGGAACTCCAGGTCTCTTTTTATCTCCCTCTCAAATACATATGCATACAATTTCACAATAGGTTCATACATATTCATTTTTACGAATTTCGAGTGACATTTGCTGCTAGTTCTTCTTTACCAGTAAGAATTCCTAGGTTAGGTTGACCTGCTGTCACAGCAGGTCAACCTAAAAACCTCTAGCTAAAAACATTCCTCTCTTCCTAAAAACCTCTACCTCTAGTCTCTCTGTCTCTCTTTATCACCCTTTGTCTCTCCCCCCTTATCTCTGTCCTTCACTGAAGCAACTTCTCCGAGCCTAGGTTCTGCAGTCAGGCTACATAGCTTTGTTTTCTAACTACAGACTCAAAGATGTACATTTCACCTAAATCAAAATGGATTTCTACTTTTTAGAGATTTTCTACTCTGTCTCACCTTCCAACAGCAAGGCTTGGATGCCACAGGAGCCTGGGAATTGTCCCAATGCTGACTCCAAGGACTGAGCTGTGAGGGCTGGACATGGACGTGACGCAGGGCTGGTGAAGGGGGTGTGAGAGGTCCTGAGAGAGCTCTGTGGTTTGTGGGGGAGCTGCACTGGATATCCTGTGTGTGATTCACACAGGTCAGCTGCAGAGCAAGGAGGGTTTGCACTGTCAGCTCATACCACACTTGGCAGAGGCATAGCCATGGCCTGGGGCCAGAGCTGTGTGACTGAGGGGTCATCTGGGTCCATTCCTCCTCATCTGGATCCAACTCTCCTCATCTGGGTCTGTTCCTCTCCATCTGGGTCTGTTCCTCTCCATCTGGGTCCATCCTCCTCACCTGGATCCATCTTCCTCACCTGGGTCCATCCTCCCCATCTGGTTCCATCCTCCCCATCTGGGTCCATCCTCCTCCTCACCTCCTCACCTGTCCTGCGAGGCAGTGACAGCCAGGAGGAGCAGATCTCCGTGGTGTCATCACCAAACCCACCAGATACTTGCAGGGTCCCTCTTCTCCACCCTCACAGCAACATTCCCTTGACATGAAAGGTCTGAGCAGCACCAGAAGTTTCTGGGAGCCCAACACCAGCTCCATCCCAGCTCCTGGCACTGAATTTCTCCAAGGAATGCGGTGCCTGGGTCCCTCCAAGCACTCCTGTTCATGCTGGGCTCAGGAGGCTCCCCAGGAAAGCTGCCCTTGGATCCCTGGCAGTGCCCAAGTCCGGATTGGACAGAGCTTGGAGCACCCTGGTACAGTGGGAGGTGTCCCTGCCATGGCAGGGGGTGGAATGAGATGAATTTTAAGGTCCATCCCAACCCAAACCATTCTGGGATTGTCTGATGAAGATTTGGCCTTTTGGCTGTTCCTCTGACACAAAGTGGTTCAAAACCAAACCTTGCAGGCATGGGAATTCCTGAGGACGTGAGAGTTGGAGAGCAGGAGGATGGCTGGAGCTCATTACTGTGTTCACAGTCATCCTTTCCCTCCTCCTTGTGCTCAGCTCACCCCATAACCAGCTCAGGTCCCATTCTGTGCCCAGCTCAGGTCCCAGTTTTGTGCCCAGTCACCACCACGGCGCCCAGGTGCCCATGCAGCAAAGGTGGGGCAGTGCAGTGCCACCTCAGCAGGAACCTGCACCTGGCGGCCTCTCCTGTCCCTTCCAGGATGGGTGATGCCCTCCTGGAGCAGAACCTGCTGGGCATGAGGGATGGCACAAATGGATTAGCAGTTCCTGGTCACCCAGAGCGCTGCAAAACATCTCTCATGGCAAATCCGGCCCCCTCTCTAGCTAAAAACATTCCAGACCTAGCTAAAAACATTCCTCTCTTCCTAAAAACCTCTACCTTCTAGCTAAAAACATTCCAGACTCCTCTTGCCCAAATCCAGCTAAAAACATTCCAGACTCCTCTTGCCCAAATCCAGCTAAAAACATTCCAGACTCCTCTTGCTCCAATCCCCAACCCCACTGTCCTCAGTGACCCCATCCTCGCTGTGTCCATCACTCTGGAGGGCAGAAGGACAGAGTTCAGGCAGAGGAGAGATTGTTGGATGACCCTCTGTCCCTTTCTGTGCCTGGCTGCATTCTCCTCCAGGCAGCCCTTGGTGCCTCTCCAGAGCTAAACAGGGCCTGGGGATGGAATTCTCCCAGTTCCAAGGGCTGCAGGGCCAGTTCAGCCTTTGCGAGCCCCACGAAATTCCCTGGGACTGCAGCAGAACTCCCATGTCCAAACAAAGGGCTCTGGAAGTTTGTGCAGCTCAGGAGTTTGTGCAGCTCAGGGTTGTTGGCTGTGAGCTGGAAACTTCAGACTCTGTGATATAAAATGAGTCAGATTCTCATTTTCTGTTAATAACCCACAGCACTGTTCTGGCAGGGTCACCCAGCAATAAATCAAATGGGAATTCATTCCCCTTTGGAAGCTCTTTGAATGCTTCCAGGAGGTGAGGCTGGAGCAGAAATATGAACCTGGCCCTGAGAGGCTTTTTCTACCCCTCCAAGGGAGCCATCAGCCTTGGGATTCACTCACGGGGTATGTTTGCTCCATCCCTCCATCTGGCAGCTCAGGGAATGTGCTGTGCAAGCCAGAAATATCAGAAAATCACAGAAAAATAGGGATGGAAGCCCTCAGTCTATTCCCAGGGCCGGGAGAGCTAATGAATCATACCTGAAGGGTTTTTGAGAGGCTTTTGTCTGGCCCGTTCCTAAAGATCTTCCAAGATCTCTCTCTCTCTCAGCAATCTAGTCCAGAGCTCAGCTGTTCTTACACTGATGCCCACCACTAAGATTCCTTGCTGATATTTAGGACTGGGATGTTCAATTTGAGCTATCAGGACTTGGAAAATTAACCATTCCCACCCTTCTTCCTGCAGCCTTGCTGGTTTTGAGGAAATGCCACCTTGCTCCCTTCTTGATGTTTCATTTTTCATATTGAAAAACCAATTATTTCAGGGTTTTTTTCCCTCACAATCAGCATTTTGTATCTCCTGAAACATGGACAGAAGCACGTGGGATCCTCAGGAGTGCATCTGCAGCTGGAAGGATCTGGATGCACTTGTGGCTCTGTGAAATCCCTGCCCTCCCTCACTTCTTCTTCACCAGCATAGAAAAATATTCTTTGCTGTTGTTGTTGGAAAAAACTGGTGAGAGCCAGGTCTGGGTATCCCCAGAGAATCAGGATTATCCCATTCCAACCAAAATCAATGGGAAAATGCCCAGAAACTGGACTGGAAGTGTCAGAGATCAGCAGAGATCAGGAACCCCTATGGATGTCTGAGGGATATCTGCACCTCTGCTGATCATAATGACAGTGTGGAACATTAAATATAAAATATAATAAATATAAGATAAGTATGTATATAAAAATATCTATATTATAAAAATGTTATATGTATTTTATAGATATTATATGTATTTTATATAATATATTGTATTAATATAAAATTATATAAAATAATGTATTTATATCAACATATTAATATTACACTGTATATAAAATTTATACATATGTTTTGTATACTTTCTTCATAAAAATATTATATATAATATTTTAAACATAAAATATTATACATAATATATAAAAATAATATAAAATATATACATATAAAATAAAGTATAATATAATAGATTAATATAGCATAATAGAATATCTTATATATAATAAATATATAAAATTTGTATGTAATATATAATATATAATATATAATATATAATATATAATATATAATATATAATATATAATATATAATATATAATATATATTTAATACAATATAATTAGAAATATACAGATACAGAAATATAGAGATATAGAGATGGGTTTTTTAAAAAAGTGGGTTTTTAAAAAATATATTAAATATAAAACTTGCCACCAACCCCAATCTTTTCCCACCACATAGATCCACCTTCTGGACGACCAAAGCAGCTGGCACTGCCCCCATCAAGCCAAGCCAAGGCAGACTCACCAGCCCGTTGCAGTTGCTGATGGCCACCTTGGAGCTGAGGTACTGGTCCTGCAGGTGCCCGGCGTAGTGGCAGTCCTCGTGGAAGTCGTGCTGCCAGTCCATGCCATCCCGCTTCCAGTACTCCACGGTGAAGTGCTCGGCCAGCAGGTTGGAGTGGAGGGTGAGGTTGAGCAGGAACTGGGTGTGGTGGGCAGAGACTTTGTAGAAGACCTGCTGCTCCGAGGGCTCGTAGGGCAGCGAGCGCCGCGGCCGCGGCTTCAGCTGGCGGCGCATGTCGAAGGTGAGGAAATCGCCGTTCTGGTCCACTTGGATGGGGAAGGCGATCTCATAGTGATCCAAGCTGGAGAGGAATTCCTCTGGGGAGGGAAGGACATGCATGGGAATGGCAGCCTGCAAAGGGAGTTGGACACCCAGCAATGCCAGCCCGAGCGCAGTGCAGGGGGAGGGTCATGGTCCCGCCATGGCATTCCGAAAATTGGGATCCCAAGGCTCTGCCCAGCCTGCAGGATCCTGGATGTCCTGGATTGCCAAAGAAATTGTGTTCTATTTGCCGTCAGTATGGCAGTTGTCTTTTGTCAAGTGGGCAGTTTTTCTTATCTCTTCCACTCCTCCCTCTAGAGAGACATCTGCTGATAACAGCCATTGAATGTCCCTGCATGGCTGATAAGAACTACAGCATCCCACTGGGAGATGTGAGCCCAGAGGGAGGAGCCAAGCATTCCTGCCTGGATACAATCTGGAGATTCTGGAGCACCAGCCAAGCATTCCTGCCTGGATATAATCTGGAGATTCTGGAACACCAGCACAGCTTTCTCCTCTGGATTTCCCAGAGGAACAGCAGCTGCCTCTTTCTTCCACTGGATCTTCAGAGGAAGAATCCATCCTTCTCTACAGAACCCCCTTGCTCCAACAGAACCACCCTGACACTGCAGGAGGGCTGAGCCACAATTCCAATGGGACTGCTGCCACCACCCTGGCCCACAGGGTGTCAGATTGTGTTCTGACTCTGTCAGTATTGGTTCACTGCGTTGTTTATCTTTTTATTTTCTTCCCTAATAAAGAACTGTTATTCTTGCTCCCATATTTTTGCCTCAGAGCTCCTTAATTTAAAATGTATAGCAATTTGGAGGGAGGGGGTTTCCACTTGCCATTTCAGGGGAGTCTCCTGCCTTCCTGAGCAGAAACCTGGCTTTCAAAACCAAGACTCAACCTGAAACGGGAGTTGGACAACCAGCAATGCCAGCCCCAGTGCAGTGCAGGTGGAGGGTCATGGTCCTGCCACGGCATTCCAAAAATTGGGATCCCAGGATCAGCCTGCAGGATCCTGGGAAATGCTCCAAATACTGCAGCCTGCAGAGCCGTGGGACAGCAGTTCTTGGAATGCAGCTTTTTCCTCTGCAGGTAATGGATAATTGTGTAATTGGATAAAAAAGTCCACATTGTGGGCCACTCGTGGTTGGTTATTGGGTTAAAAATAAAAACAATTTAGGTGCCATTTCTTAATTGGACAGTTTATCCTTAAAAGGCCTTGTAGAGAGAGAGTTGGGGCTCCATTTTTAGTTTGTTAGAGTGAAGTGCTGTAGAACTCAGAGTTTGTGAGACTGTGACATGGATAAGAATTGAAAAACATCTGAATCTGAACATGAATTACCATCTTGAGTGCTTTCAATCCCAATCCTGACAGGCAGAAAAGAAGCAAAGGAACTGACAATATGGCTTTGTCTGACAACCCTCAGCCCCAGAGGCTTGGGCTGAAATGGGAAATATCCACGTGTTGGACCATGACAGCTCCTCCTCACAGAGTGTCCTCCTGAACTCCTCATGCCTGGAGGGTTTCAGCCTCCTGAGCCCTCATGGGAGGAGATTTTCCCTCTGCTCCCTCTGGAAAAGTCTTCCTGTGCTTTCTGCATCCTACTTGTTGTTTCCTAAGCAAGCAGGAGGGGCCTGGCTGCTCCACTGTGGTTGAATTTTGAATTTTGCCAGCCCCCACATTCAGAGCCTTCCCAGCCATCAGAAACTCAGCCAGCTCCAAACTGCACTCTCACCACAGGGCAGCACTGGAAAGTTTCCTTTTCCTCTGTTTTCCAACGTGGGAGCCTGACAGAGTGGTTTCCTTGGCCACCAGGAATGGGACAGCCCTTCCACCTTCTGGGATTAGGGCTGAGCTCCCATTCTTCCCAATTATAAACACTACTGGCACCTCTGGCCAGAATTAATTATTAGGGCTTTAACTTCCCATGCTCCAGCTTTTCCTCCATCCCAGCACCTCCCTGTGATGGGGCTGGGCAAACAAGGGTGACTTTTTGCACTCAGAAATTACTTCTGGCTTGGAAAAATTTGCTGTCGGAAGTGTTTTGTTTTCCTTTTTGCCTCTTTGCAGTCCACGTGGGCTTGGAAAAGAGTGAATCAGAGGGTGGTTTGTGCTCACTGTGGCTACAAAGCACCTGGGACTCAGGGCTGGAGGTTCTGTCCTGACCTGAAAAGCATTTCCAGGAGGAAAAACGTGTCCAGAGCTGAGGGTGGGGTGGTGTGGGAGAAGCTGGTGGTGCTGTGGGGCTGGACACTGCATCTTCTCAGGGATGTCACTCTGGACACAACCAAAACCACTACTGTTGGGAAGGATGAAAGTTTGACAAGAAAGTCTCACAGATATGTGTGCTTAGCAGAAAGATTTTTGAATGTAGAATCTGAAGAAGGAATAGAGATGGAAGCAAGTTTTGATGTAGAAGAAAAGAATTGCAGAGCCAGTCATACTGGATAACCAAGAAGGCAAAGGGTGTGTTAGGTAGAAGGGGTTTTTATGGCTTAGAGCAAAAGATAAACATACTTTAAATAAGAAGATGTTTTTGCCAAGTAGAAAGATAGCACAGGCAAACAAGTCAGCAAAGTTGCAAGCTGGAAAAAAGTCTCAGAATTTTCTATTGCAAGAAAACTGAAAAACAGTTTCTAGCTTAAACTGTAATGTACTAACTTTTAGTGGTTAGAGAACAGTAACATAAATATGGTCATTATAGTAGTTATGATAAGCTATAGATAAAAGTTAAGGTATAGATTAGCTCTACTGTATTAAAATACTCAGTAAAGAAAAGTATATAATGCATTGTAACCTAAACTAAGGGTCTCCAGGCCTGCCTGCAGCTGGAGCTAGCAGCTGTAGGCACAGCTCTGTCACCCACAATCCTGGACTTCTGTAATTCTTGGATAGAATAAACTGCATTTTGGAGAGCTGCCTGGAGTCCCACATCCCTCATTTCAGCTCTTACAGTGGTGCCCAACCTGGGGCACCATTAGTAAGACCCTGAATGAGGGATGTGGGTCTCCAGGCCTGCCTGCAGCTTGGGATGACAGCTGTGGGCACAGGCTCTGTCACCCACAATCCTGGACGGCTGTAACATCTTGGATACAATAAACTACATATTGAAGAGCTGCCTGGAGTCCTGCATCTCTCATTCAGGCTCTTACAGACCATCCCATCCCATCCCATCCCATCCCATCCCATCCCATCCCATCCC